CCCCACCAGCGCGAGAAGGAGAAACACCACCCACCCCCGGAGCGCGAGGAGGACGACGCCGACGTCGAGATCGCGGGCATCGAGCCCGAGATCCTGCGCCTCTCCTCCAGCTTCCTCCACCTCCGCGTCTTCCGGGGCCACGACGCGCGGCCGACCGGGACAGGGCCGCGGGCGAGGGGGGGAGGCCTCGCCCCCCTCGATCTGGACGGGGCCATGGCCTGCCTCCACCACCGCCAGCCCGCCGCCGCGACGCGCCTTGCCGGCCGACGCCTCCGCTGCCCCGCCGCTAATACAGGAGCCCAACAGCGCCTCCCTCCCTGGAGGAGCCGCTCCCGCCCAGCAGCGCATCCCTCCCTGGAGCAGCCGCTCCCGCCTAGCAACGCCGCCGCCCGAAGCTGCGCCGGCGACCCGTCCAGAGGCAGGTAGCGACCACTCCTCCCTCCTTCCTCCCTCCCTCCCTCTCTCTTTCCTCACCCTCTCCCTCCTCCCTCCTTCCTCCCTCCCTCTCTCTTTCCTCACCCTCAAGTTCTTTTCCTGATTACTTGCTGTAGACTTGATATTGTGAGAATATAATGATGATTATTTCTTGATGAGTCCTGCTGCATGATTTCCATTGAAGTATTTCTGTTTATTGTTCTCATGTTGCCAACTCCATATATTTCTAGGTTATTACCTGTCATTTTTGGTAATATATACTGCAAGTTCATACATATTGCAAGGTCATACGTATTTCAAGTCCATATATACTGCAAGGTCATGCGTATTTCAACTCCACATATATTGCAAGTCTGCAACCTGCATTTTAGAAAACAACATGCAAGGTTGCCTGCATATATTTGTGTTGCATACTCCTGTTAGTGTTCATGTCTATCATTGGTTACACTAGGTTCTGGGATGGTACAGTACAGTGTTTTCAGGTAGTGGGGATTGCTAGGAGCATGTCCTTCTCTTGGGACATTGATAACCATCTTTGTAGTTTCTGAGTAATATGGTAGCCATCTCAGTACTTTGGATGGAGTAGTTTGTAAAAACTGGGTTTAATCTCCTGTGACAATTAATACAGTTTCATAATGTTAGCTAATTTTTGCTTCATTCCTTAAGGCATTATTAGTTTCTTCTTGTTACTCCTTGTATTGATGAGAGAGAAAATGATGGATGATGAATATTGGTACTACTACAGGTGCACACACACAGTTGTTCTACGGATTGATGCTACGGCTGTACTGCAGGTACACACACATTCAGTTAACTCTAGCTGTTGTATAGATTGCTGCTACTGCTGTACTCCAGATTGATTACTGAATCTTGACATTGATCATCATACTGCTTATGTTACATTGGGAAATTTGGCATTTCTGAATTTAGTCAGCACTTATTGCAAAATGTTAACCACAGAATAATCCAATTTATGTACTGCTTATGTTACATCTGGAAACCAAGAATGTGGTGGGTTAAATTTTTCAAAGCCAAAATTACTCCTATGGGATTATAAATTAAGGAACTACCTATATGGATAGTGCAAAGGAGACTATTTAGGACAAAATACTCCTAGCTGTAGTCCCTAGAATATTCAGTCAGAAGATGCTCAAATGTAGATGGTGCTGAGCATGCATGATTGTTTCCTGGGTCAAATTTAGATGGTGTTTGCCAATAGAGAGGGAGACGTGTATTTTTTGAATGAAAAAAGTGATGTGTTGATCTGCTGCTGCTATTGTAATTCAGTTGATTTGCTGCTATTGTAATTCAGATCATCATCTGCTGCTATTTCTCCTGCTGCTATCACTATTGATCTGCTGCTTTTTTTGGAACGTAGACGCTAGAGGCGTCCAACTTTAAATTAAAGCCACTAGGCAGCATCCACACAAAGTTTAAAACATACAAACCAAACAAAGGTAAAACATCGGGCCTCTCATCTCGGCAAAGTCTGAGTTTCTTATGCCTGTGCATAATGGTATAATTATGGCGGTTCTTTGGATTTTTATGTATTCTGGAGTATACTTACATTAACAGGTTTGAGAGTGCATAAACTAGGAATTTTTCATACTGGTGATTAGTTGGTTCAGAATAGAGCTGACCAGACGTCTGTTTGTACTGTAGTTCAATGAGGAAGCGCAGACACTTCTTTTAAAGAAATACAAGACTATCATGTAATAATTTGTCCTCTAAACTTCCTCAGTTACAACTGTAGACTATCAAATGTTTGAGGTCTGCTCTCGGGGTTTCTAGCTTCTTATGTAGTCATGTCGTCAGTTAGCATGATGACCTATCGAGAACTTGCTCGCTCTGCGGTTATTCTAGCCATGTCGTCAGTTAGATCTATCATTCCAATTGCTGTTTCATTCCTTTAAAATGCTTTGTCTAACTATTATGTGCTTATGGCAGGGGATCTCGGACATTTAAAATGCTTGGTTTATGGGATCTTTATATCGGTGGGGGTGTATCATCCATCATTGTTTGTTTTAGATTTAATCTGGTACAAAGCAACCTTCTTTTCCTCTTTTATAAGCTAAAAATGGTGGTTGTGAGACAAATTATTCTATAAGACGCATGTGAAGAATTCTGACGAACTCTATAGTTACAGTATGCGATGTATTTTTTTTAGGAAAGCCTTCACATTCCATTGTCGAACATTGGCATGAGAGAGGGATTTGACGGCTATAGTGGAAAAGAATTAGGATAAACACCAGACAATCAGCATGGAAGATGTGTTTATGAACGACATATGGAGTGAACATAATGGCGATATTCGAGCCTTTCACTGTTGAGTTCTTTCTTCCCCGGTCTTTGTGTTGATTGCCTTCTTTTGGATTTGTTTCATACCAGCAACATGCCAGCATCTATGTCTTGTATATGTCATGTGTTTCGTGAAATTGGACAGTGGAGTCATTGTACTTTTATGTTTAGGATTGCAAGAGCAAAGATGGACTCACTGGCCACTGCGTCATGACCGAAGAACTGATTGAAGGAACATTTCTTCATGGTATATAGCAGCTAATTGTTTAGCCTATTTACTATGCTACCCAGTATAGGGATGACACCATATAGTAAATAGTCGATATGAATTGTGACAGATTCTGTTCCTGCAGGAACTTAGATACCTAGATAGGATTATGCATATATCATATTAGTTATATTATTGTTACTTCCTTGGTCGTAGGAACATATTCATCCAATTAGGCATCTGAAGATGCCTTGACTTATAGTGCAGTTCTCCTAAATTTAGGTGAACAATCTTGAAAAATATTTTACTCTTTCATTCACATTCGAGATGGCAGATCATGCTAACAATCAGTCCATGTGATGATCCATTAATCATTTTGTTGAAAGAGCATTTTCTAAATAAACTGTTCTGTAGTTAGAAGATACATGTGCCTCAATACCATGATGAATCAATTCCACCAGTTTGATCTGTTCTGAATCTGAATGTGTTCGAAAACTACACGTCCTTTCTATTGTCTTACTTTAATAACATCATGTGTTTGAGAGTCAAATATAAAATACATTTTATTCATGTTTAAGTTATATTTTGTACTTCGGTGAGGACCGCTTTTCTCACCTTTTCCTTTCTAATGTTCGCTTTAATTTTCAGTGAACTGACCAGATGCAAGGTACAATGAACTGAAAGAAGAAGGGCATTTTCATCAAAGGAACATTTATTGGTTTGTCCGTTGACGGTTGCCTGAAGGAGGACCAAGACGGCGAGTTAAGATGGGTTGCCTCTAATTCGCCTGTTGCGATTGGGGTGCCTCGCCTCCTTGACACCCTCCTTGAGACTCAACATGAGGCAAGGTGAGCTGCCGTTGGTTCTTAGGTTGAGAAGGTTTGTAAATGATTGAAGTGTTGTGTGTTGGATGATTGTACATTGTTTAACCCAGGAGATTGTAGCCACCACCAGATCCCCCCTCCCCATGTCCTCGTGCTCCTTTTGCCGCGTGCGTCTGCTGCTGCCGTTGGCTGCAGGTTGCCTTGCCTGCAGCTGCTCTGCTGTTCTGCTAGGCGCTGGTACTGCTGTTTCCTGCTGCCGCTAGCTGCTGCTCCTCCTGTTGTTGCTGCTCCATGCACTACTGGCCCGTCGTTGCTACTGCTGAGTGCTGGCCATGGCCGAGCGGCTGTGTGTGCGCGCGCGCGTGCGTGCGTGTGTGTCATGTAACACCCATGTGCTGGAACATTTCATTCCCTTGTGAAATTAATCGTTTATGTGTATGAAACAAAAATGTTCAGTTTTAAACTTTTAATGTCCAGTTCACTGCCAATTCTCTTCCTGCTTTTGTCGTGACCATGCAAATCAATTATCCTGTGGATTGACTATGCCTTGCTTACCTTGCATTGGGTTTATTTTGCTGTTTGTGATATAGTAAACTCATCTATCATGGATGGTTACTTTGATTTTTTAGATGTAAACAGTTTCTCAAACCTTCCTACTAACTTGACCATTACCTGCTTAATTACAACGTTTGGACCGGCACCAAGGCGCACAGTCGGCTCACCGCAAGTACACCTACGCCGCCGCCTCCCCAGGGGGCTGCAAGGTGAAGTGGACGGCCGAGGAGAAGCCGCACGGCGGGGCTGGGCTCTCAAGTGGGAGGCGGAGCTCGCCTCCCCCCAACGACGTTAGCTTTGATCACAAGTGGAAGTGGGAGCCCAAGTCCAAGCCTGGTGCCGCCAACAAGGCCAAGACCAAGCTCGAGAAAGCCAGCGAGGATGACAAGAATAAGCCGGCGATGAAGTGCATGCACATCGAGGAGGTCCTCGCCGGCTGCGACGCCGTCCGCAAGGTACTCAGTACAAATGATGAACTTTTTTAGGGGGTTTCCAGTAGATTTCCGACTGGTTACAGTAGTTTGAAGACTGTAGTGGAATTTCAATATAATGCCAAGTCAACTTACTCAAAGTTTGCATACTGCCAAGTTAATTTACTCCATTCTTAAATGAGTACTGCTAAGTTCCACAGATGCATGAGTAGATTTAAGAGAAAGATTGCAGTAGCTTAAAATGGAACTTCACTTCACTGTTTTGTAATATTCAGTAGCTTAAAGATTGCAGTAGATTTTGACTTGGTGCAGTACCGAAACCTGCCTTGTTAGATTGTTAACTTGCATTTATACTTTCTTGATTGTGTTAATTTTTTGGAGTATTGTATCTCATGCTTAGTGCTGCACCATGATTCAGTATCTTGAACTACTCCAGTATTGCTTGAACTACTCCAGGAGATCATCTTAATTCTGTAAATTCTATGGAGTAGTTTTAGTAATTTTACAGCAACAGTACTCTTGCCTGCATATCCTTTCGTAAAACAATTATTTTATCCTTGACTTTCCTCTACAGGATGATGACTATCTAATAGTGATTCCCTATTCCCACATTTTCTGTCCTCATGTTGCAAGCTCTAAAGCTGCCCCTGCAATTTACCATCACAAGACATGTCTGGGCAGCAAGTCTCCTGTGACGGTTACTTTTAATTCGTCGTTACAATTGTTTGATGGTCTGCTTGTTCCAACCTCGATATCATGGTTTGCTTGTTCCAACCTCGATATCTGCCTTTAGATTCCCGTTGTTGTCTTTGTAGTGGAAGGTGCCACCTGGTGGTATGTTGTTATTTTCACTTTGTTCTGAACAAGGCATGTATAGATTTCAGATTTTAGTTCCTATCTCTCTGTCATAAAAACTAATGTATGGTCCTGTGTTTTATCTCTGATTGTATGAAAGCACCGAGCTTGATTCCGTCTTATAACATGATGTTCATCTTCAGTCTCATTATGTTTTGCTTCTAACACAATTGGTTGTCTACACATGCTATTCTTGGGCTCTTACTGACAAATTATTACATGGTTTTGTCTAAACGTTCTGACCGGCACCCTCGCGCTACGGCGCGAACCCGATCTAGTATAAGATATAACCCACCTAATATACATCCAATCCGATCCAAGAATGGCTGCAATACCATCACGGCGGCCCTGCTGGCGCAGTCGTGGGTCACGGGCTTGACGAAGGCGGGCCAGAGGATGCCGTGGATCCGGCGCTGGAGCTCCTCCGCCTTTTGTTTGGCGGCGGCGGCAACGACGGCGGCGGCCCTCTCCTCGTCGGTCGGCCCTTTCCAAACAGCGTATGCCTCGTACACTCCGCGGTAGCCGCGCTGCTCTGAGCCCTTGAGGTAGTTGGGCTGCTCCGGGAGGCCGGCGACGCGGCCGGACCGCCGGAGCTCGCCGGGGCCCGGGGCCTTGCGCTTCTGCGGCACCGAGGCAGCGGGCCAGTCATCATATAAGAGGGGAGAAGAGGAAACGGGAGACCGGTGGCAAGGAAGAAGAAGGGGGAGGATCTGACGAACCGGCCTGGGGTTGGGGTTGGGCTTGGGCCTAGCGGCGGCGGAGAGGTGGTGCAGGCGCAGCTCCTCCAGCTTCCGGCGGTTCTCCTCCACCTGCCTCCGGCGCTGCTCCTCGTACGAGTTCGATTCCGCCATTCCCTTGTCGATTCTGCTTCCTTGCCTCCTTCTCGACTCTGCTCGGGAGGTGGAGCAGGGAATGGGGGACGGCAGCAGACTCGTCAATTCACAATTCAAGGCAGCAGCACACAGCCAACCACCCACCCTCGGCCCTCGCGGTTATTGCGATTCCCTCGGTTTCAATATTTTTTTTCAGGGAACTTTAGAGAGCTTTATTTAGGCCTTGTTTGGAGTCACTCTGACTCCGCAATTCTGCTCCGGAGCGGCCGGGGCTATAATTGAAAATCAGGGAGCAGCTAATTCCTTGCTCCGCGGATCCTTGGATTTTTAGAAGTTGTTGGATTGCGGAACAGGCACTTAAATGAAGGCATTCGCTGGACAGTCAGCCAGAAGGCTACTGACCAGGAAGCTAGGAGTGGAGTCCAGCCAGCTTTCAGTCCCATTCAGCGAACATGCACGCTTAGCACACAAATGTGCAGGACTGTTAGCGGATCGAGTTACATGGGTAATACTGAATGAAAAAAAAAATTATCGGAAAGCTCTCTAACTTCAGCTAGAATGGGTGCTACGATCGAGCGATCGGTGTAGCCAGAGTTCCAGAGGTCAACTACCTCTAGACAGTCGGATTCCAGTTGCACATGCGTGTAGCCGCGGAGCCGGGCGAAGATGGTACCCTCTCGGATGGAGAGCACCTCAACAATGAACAGATCTATGACCCCTAGCTGGGGTTTGCACCATGCACCCAGGAAAGTCGAGGAAGAACGGGCTAGGCCTCCAATGCATGCAGTGTTTGTCTCGATGGATCGCTGCATCGGTGTTGATCTTGACTTAGTTTCCTTCAGGAGGTCGCCAGCCATGGCCCGACATAGGTATGAAAACCTGTCCCGGTATATCCAGCAATGCAGGATCTTCTCGAATTCTTCTAACCGAGCTGGCAGGATCAATGATCTCCTGATCATGCGTGCGTCTGTTGTGGGACATCCAAATCGCCCACATAACCGTAATGATCGTGGCACGGTCTTTGTCAGAAAACCGCTGATCACACAATATGTCTCTTGTCCATGAATTGGGGTGGAGCCGTTGAAGTCTGATTTCAAAGAGCAGCATCGCCTCCTCCCAGAATCGCCTTGCATGAGAACAATGGATTGGTGCATGCATGAGGTCCTCGTCCATTGCAAGGCACAACTCACATATACTGGTTTCTTTGATGTGTCGGTGTTTGAGCGTGCACTTATCCAGGATTATTCACGGACCACTCTCCACCAAAAAACCCTAACTTTAGGGACCACTTTTAGCATCCAAAGAGCATTCCACATGTGTTGTTCGTTCGTTGATGGTTCCGCTATCTGCCCTTCTTCTAGAGCTAAACGCTCTTTTTGACTCACTAGAACTCGATATGCCATTTTAACAGAGTAGATGCCAGATCTTTCGTGTGCCCATGCTAGGTAGTCTGCACCGCCGCCTTGTCTGAGAGGAATATTCAGAATTGCCTCAGCATCCGGCGCGATGGAAGTCGAGCGAATGATATCACGTTTCCAGGTTCCATTCTCATGATCAATGAGTCCCCCTACTGTGAGAATCGGGGTATTGGGAGGCCTGAATAATGGTGTCATGGTGACAGTCGATGGGATCCATCGATCGTTCCAAACGGAAGTGGACGCTCCATCACCGATCCGCTTGATGAGACCAACCTTGAGAGCTTCTCGTCCGGCAACGATGGCTCGCCAGGTGGCTGATGCTGATTTCGGGGTGGTGGCTTGCATGAAATCCGAGTCCGAAAATATCTCCCCTTCATCACTCTAGTACACAGGGCCTCCGGATTCGTCATGAACCTCCAACCGTGTTTCCCTAGCAGGGCCAGGTTGAACTGTCGAAGGTCGCGGAAGCCCATCCCTCCCTTAACTTTAGGTGTAGCAAGTTTGTCCCACGCTATCCAATGCAAGGAACGCCGATCAAGCGAACTCCCCCACCAATATTTTGCCATACTCGATCTCAAATTCTTGCACACCTTTTTTGTAAGGAGAAAACAGGTCATACTGAAAGTTGGTATTGCCTGAGGGATGGATTTGATCAAAGTCTCTCTACCTGCACAAGCAAACAATCTTCCTGACCAGCCCTGCATCTTGTCCGTTGCCCTGTGTACTATGTGGTCGAACGTGCTGCTGGTGATTCTTCCAACAACAGTGGGTAGGCCAAGATATCTTTCTGAAAAAGCTTCTGAGTGAACATTTAGGATTTGTTTCAGATTTCCTTTGAGAGTTGTCGGCGTATTGGGACTGAAGTAAATAGAACTTTTTGCTCCGTTGACACATTGGCCGGAAGCCTCTCCATAAATCCCGAGGATCTCATTTAGTCGAGATGCACTCTCTGTACTCGCCTTGATGAAGATCAGACTATCATCAGCGAACAACAAGTGACTCACCCACGGCGTTCTGAAGCTTACTCGAATACCACGATCAATATAGTTCCCGTAGTACTTCAGCAGCGAAGAGAATCCTTCGACACATAACAGGAATATATATGGTGATATGAGACAGCCATGCCGAAGGCCTCTGAAGGGGGTAAAGTAAGGCATCAACTCCCCGTTAACTCGAACAGAGAATCGAACTGAGGTAACACATTTCATAATTAGTCTTACCAGGTTGCCGGCAAAACCAAGTCTCAAGAGCATGGCCTCAAGAACTCGATGCGGTCTTACACCTTTATCATGTTCAGCTTGATGGCGCACGAGTAGCTTCGCCCTTTCTTCCGTCTCTTCATCGTATGAACACTTTTGTATGCCACCAGCACATTGTCCGTGATCAAACGACCCAGGACGAAGGCACTTTGTTCTTCACTGACAATCTCGTCCATACATAGCCTCAGAGATTGTTGATCGCTTTGACAACAATTTTGTAAAGGACTGGGCATAATGCAATGGGCCGATATTGTGAAATACTTTGTGGGTGACGTACCTTTGGAATTAACGTAATGGAAGTATCGTTTAGTCCAGCTGGTAGCTCACCACCATTCAAAAAATCTAGCACCGCCGGAATTATATCATGTTTCAATAGGTTCCAGTGGCGCTGATAAAACCTCGAGGTGAATCTGTCTACTCCGGGCGCCTTTGACGGCGCCATTTGGAAAAGAGCAGTGGTTATCTCCGAGGCTTCATATGGTTTAGACAGTAAGTCATTCATAGCCGGTGTAACCCGGCTGGGTACATGTGATAACAAATCATCACTATTGCTAAAACCTTGGGATGTGTATAGTGCTTGGTAGAAAGCAAGAATTTCCTCCTTATCTTCATCTCCCGAGGTGCAAACCGAGCCATCCGATCGCTGCAGATTCGCGATCTTGTTGATGTGTTTTCGTTGCTTTGCTTGCGCCTGAAAATAAGCCGTGTTCCGATCCCCTTCACGCAGCCAGGGGACACGAGAGTGTTGTTTCAACCATATCTCCTCTAGTCGTAGCGCTTCTCTGAGCTTTGACATGGTAACCTTCTCCTCATCAGATGGGTCACGTCCCACAGATTGGCAACGTAGTCTATCAAGCCTGTTTTGGAGTTGCCTGGCATTTCTGCTCAAGCACCCAAACTCACGGACACCCCATGGTGCTAGTTTACGTTGTAGGGCTTCAAGAGAGTCCATTACACCATATAAACCTGGTTGACGAGCTTGTTCACGCCAAGTGTCAGAAACCAGCTGCTCATAGTCACTATGGGACTGCCATACATTCTCGTAGCGAAAGGGTTTATACACCATGTGAATTGTTGTTGTAGTTTTGCCACCGTAGATCGACCAACACGAAGCAGTGGTCCGATTCTGCTGAGCACATATGGCGCACACGAGTGTGTTCAAACCTCTGTCTGAATTCCTCGTTGGCAAAGGCCCGATCCAGCCGGGCTTTAACATTAGCATCTCCAGATTGCCGGTTGTCCCAAGTGTACGGAACTCCCGACCAGCCAAGATCCTGGAGAGCACAGTCGTCCGTAGCGTCGCGAAAAGCTCTCATTTGCCAGTCCGGTTGTGCTGCACGACTAAAATGCTCGCTCCCATAAAGGGTTTTGTTAAAATCACCCATACATAACCACGCTGAATGTGGCAGACCATGTAGGGTACGGAGGAACCGCCAACTGTGATGTCTATTTTCAGCTCTTGCGCTCCATAGAAGCCAGTAAATCTCCAAGTAGTAGAGTTATCAAGGGCATCGCGCACCACAACATCAATGTGGGCCAAACTGTAGTTCTTGAGCTTGACAGAAACATCTTTGGACCAATAGAGACCGATTCCCCCACTGAGCCCATCGCTGTCCACTGCGAAACAGCCAGCAAACCCCAAGGTCTGCTTCAAATTCTCAACACGTATCCTATTGATCTTCGTCTCCATAACAAAGACCAACACGGGCCCTTCTTGCTTCACAACATTGTGAAGCTCGCGAACTGCCTCGGGGTTCCCAAGCCCCCAGCAGTTCCAGCTTAGGCAGATCATTGGGACGGGCAGGGCTGTCCAACAGCCTCTGCCGAAGTTCCTGAATTGCTTGGTGTGGGCTTCTTCTTTTTCGGTTCTGTCACCACATCATCATCCTCCTTGCCATCGCCCTCATGAGGCATAGGCGTCTCCATGGTATCCTTCCCATCACTATCTGTTGCAGCATGGTTCGTGAGGAGAGGAAGATCCACTCTGCGATAAACTTGTGTGGGAGGCCCTCCTTTCCGCTTAGGTGCAGTTTTCCATTTCATGGGTGAGGTTACCTCCGCTCCACCATTTGCTGCAGTGCTGGAGTTCCTGATATCATTCTTGCTTGATTTTGCCGGTTGGGGTTTAGAAGAACTCTCAGAGGATGCAACTCCTTTTTTCTCTTCCTGCGACCTGAGTCCTTTGCCAAACGGCAGATCTCCGTTTTCATCTCTTGTGCCAGGCGTCGGGCAGAATAGATCAGAGGCCTAGACGACCACAGGAAAAGAAGAAGTGGGGTATGTTTTCATATTGGATGTCAAAAGGATCTGTGGTACCCCTCCTTGCAGAATCAATCAAAAT